CCCACCCCCACGGGCCAGAGGGAGTGAAATTGCCCCCTTCAGGGACTCTTCTGAAGCTTCCCAAGCCTCAAAAGAGTCCCAGGAGGTGGCGATTTCGCCCCCTCTGGCCCAGCAGGGGGGGCAGGGTAAGCCTACAAAGGGTCCAAGGGTCTGTTCCAGGACCCTTGCGAGGCTTCCCCCACCCCCATGGGGCCAGCAGAGGTGAAATCACACCTCAGCCAGCTCATCATCCAGAAGTGCTCCCTGCCCCGGAAGGGGAGGAGAAGGGCAAGGTGATGGCAATGGCAGTTGTGGGAAGCCAAAGAAGATCGCTGGGTAGGTTGGGAGGGTAAAAAAAAAGACTTGCAGTGGGGGGGCATAAGGAGTGAAAACTACAGTACCAGTACTTGTTTTCTTTAAAATAAATTAGAATAAAAATAAATAAATCTCCGCCCCAGCCAGGAAGCACTCCCTGCCCGGAAAGGGGAGGAGAAGGGTGGTGTGGTGGCAGTGGGAAGCCAGTATTCGCTCCATAAGACGCACACGCTTCCCCCCCCCCAGTTTTTTTTGGGGGGGAAGTGTGTCTTATGGAGCAAAAAATACGGTATTTAATGTAATTACAGATTTTAAAACTATTTATTTACAAACATTTCTTGTTCATGTCTGTTATGATTAAACATTATTTGTGTTTTTGCCAGTTGATAGTTAATCCTGTTATTTATCCAAATGTTTATAAATTATTTTTAATAATATCCATACTTTTTAGTGGGTTTTTAATAATGACTCATCAGCAAATAGATCAATCTTAATTGTATCCTTATTTTCCTAATCTTTTAATTAATTAATCATTTCTTATTGCATTAGCTAGTAGTCCTATAACCATACGAAACAATATTTGTGAAAGTGGACAGCCTTGTCTTGTACCTCGGCCTAGAAAAATCCATTCTGTTAAACCATCGTTAACTATTAATTTTAAAGTATTATCTGAATATAATTGGTCTATAACCCTATAAATCTTTTACCAAATCTCCAACCCTTTATAAGCAGTTTTAATGTTGGCCATTCAGCACAATCAAAGGTCCTAAATATGTCTAATGTTAAAACAGTTGTCTTTATTTTTTCCTTTTCTATCTCATATATATTTAAAACTTGTCTAGATTGTCCATTTGTCTTCCCTTTATAAGACCACATTGATCATTTTTAATATAATTTGCCATGTATCTGTTTAATCTATTTGCTAGTATAGCAATAAAAATCTTGGCATCTTGATTTATTAGAGATACAGGCGTATAAGATCCCGGATTAGATCCTTGTTGGGTTTTGGGATAAGAATCATTAATGAATGTTTCCAAGAAGACGGCATTGTCTCTCCTTCCAATATTTTATTGTAAAATATTTTTAACTTAGGTATCAAAATGGTACTAAAATATTTATAATATTCTGGACTCAATCCATCAGGGACTGATGTTTTACCATTTCTCAGTTTATTAATAACTTCAGCAATTTCTTCTTCTTTAATCTCTTCTAATATTCTTTTATCACATTCCAATAATTTAATTTGTAAATTCTCATTTATATGATTATTATATTCTCTTTCAGTATGTTATTTCCTTTATATAATTTCTGATAAAATTCTTGAAAAATCTTCAAGATTTTACAGATCTCACACTTAGATTAAAATTTTGGTTTCCCCTGAAAGACAAAATGGAAGGTGACACCATCGTTGTTCTATCAAATGTCTAGCCAAACCTCATCAATCTATAGAGATTCTCTATAATGTTGGTTCTTTGATATAAAATATGTTTTTCCTTTACTCAAGGAGTAACTTTGTATATTTCTAACTTTGTATATTTCAAAATTAACACCTTCCACAGATTAGAAGAAAATAGTTACTATTTTCATTTTTAATAAGGTGATGAGTATTATTGTACATCCTTCCACATTCTATGTAGCTATGCACCGAGAATTTTCTCTCATGTGAAGCAAGGAGATTTCTGCTAATGAAGAGCTTATTGTTTCTCTCCAGTGTGAGTACTTTCATGTGAAGATGGCTGCTCTGAATGAAGCTCGTTCTACATTCCATGTATTTATATGGTTTCTCCCCTGTGTGTTCTTTCATGTAAATGTAGGGTATTGTTATGACTGACGCTCTTCCCATATTCTATGCATTCATTTATATGATTTCTCTGCTGTATGAATTCTCTAATGCAAACTCGGGCTACTATTCTGTTTAAAGCTGAGCCCACATTTCATGCATTTATATGGTGTAAATTCAGTTGTGTGAATTAAGATTACTGCTGTGACGGAAGCCCTTTCCACATTCCATTCATTCATTCATTCACTTTCTCCCCTGTGTGAGTTCTTTGATGTAAACTTAGGGTACTGCTGAGCCTGGATCTCCTTCCGCATTCCATGCATTCATATGTTTTCTCACCTGTGTGAGTTCTCTGATGTGTATTTACGTAGGCTACTGCGGGAACAAAAGCGGTTTCCACATTCCATATATATATGATTTATGAGTTTATGAATTCTTTGATGCAATCTCAGGCTACCACAGTGATTAAAGCTCCTTCCACATTCCATGAATTCATATGGTTTCTCCTCTGTGTAAGTTCTTTGATGGAAAAAATAGGGTAATGCTTTCCTGAAACTCTTTCCACATTCCAGGCATTTACATGGTTTCTCCCCGCGTGAGTTCTTTAATGGAAACTAAGGTGATTTCTCAAACTGAAACTCTTTCCACATTCCATGCATTCATATGGTTAATCCCATCTGAATTGATTAATCCCGTCTGAATTATTTGATATGAATTAAGGTTACATTTCCGACAAAACGTCTTTCCACATTACAGACATTTACAGTGGTGCCCCGCATAGCGACGATAATCCGTTCCGGAAAAATCGTTGCTATGTGGATTCGTCGCTATATGGAACAAAAAAGCCCATAGGAATGCATTAAAACACGTTTAATGTGTTCCTATAAGCAAAAAACTCACCATTATGCGAAAATCCTCCATACGGCCACCATTTTCGCTGCCCGGTAAGCGAGGAATCAGTGCAAAAACACAGCGGGTGG